CTCTGAGGGGTCCCAGGTTCGATTCCGGTCAAGGGCATGTACCTCAGTTGCGGGCACATACCCAGTGGGGGATGTGCAGGAGGCAGCTGAACGATGTTTCTCTCTCATTGATGTTTCTAACTCTCTATCTCTCTCCCTTCCTCTCTGTAAAAAGTCAATAAAATATATTTAAAAAAAGACTTAAGATTTCAAAGATATGACTCTGGCAACTTATAAGACACAAGAAAGAGATTTTAAGAAAAATGAAAAAAAACCAAAAACAACCAGAAGGGACAGGAGGTTTTATTTCATTCTTATAACTGTCAGTACATGGGGTAGACTAAGTAATTTCAGATAAGTGGAGAGATTTGTCATCTCTATGAAAAAAAGGTAATACAATGGATTCTTTAAAATATTTCAGTCTTTGCTGTGAAGATACCCGTCCTTGTACATAATTTTGTGACTGATCAAGAACATGAATCGGTTGTCTACAGAGGCCCACTACCATTAGTGTGATATCTATTTTATTTACTAACCTGAACAGATTCACCATCTACTTGAACCTGGCCGGCAATTTCCATCATGTCCAAGGCCAGGTGGCAAATGGATCGTGCATGGTGGATGCACGGCTCTGGCAAACCACTCACTGTCATATACTTGTCACCAACAGTCTCCACCTAACATAGCACAGACAGTTAGATGTTTATTGGGTAGCATAAATATGACCGCTTCATTTGCTATCCTTATACAAAAAATTACTTGTCCAAGGCTATCAGTAACTTTAAACTCTCCTCCCACTTAGTTCTGTAAAAACTTTAACAACAACAACCTGAAACTTTGTCATTGTTTGAAATGTACACACATGGCATCTGAGGTCTTTGATTACAGGCAGGTGTAGACAGAGCATTATTTTTCCTCTTGTAAGTCCTGCTTTTGCACTTCAGATACCCTTATAATTCAGTAAAACAATGTATTGCCTTATTCCCTCTCCCCCACAATCATACCCAAGCAGTGAGAGTTTAATAGCACAAGAGCCACTGCCTGAAGTTCAATGATTTATCCTGGTCCTTAACCATTTATTTTTATGACTTGCTCACCAAGTGTTACACTAAAGCTCAGAGAACAACTATAAAATAAATAGTTCTCAAGGCACTTATATGACTTCAGATGCCAGTGGATGGTTTAGTTAACATGCTTTCCTTTACAAAGCAATATTCCACTGACTTCATTTTTCCAATATTATCATTGCTTCTCATTGAAACCAAGGGCAGAAATGCCGCATGAACATTTATCTTCAGGTTGGTGCTGTCTAAACTTCCAGCACACTTCTCATGCTCCAGGACTTCTTTCCCGTATAAAACATTTATACATTTCAGCAAAAATGTCTCATCCGGAGCACGAAAACGAGTACTACGTTTATATCCCATGTGCTCAGATATGTTCAGTGAGTGCAGAAAAGCTGCTGAAGATTACGTTTTAACTAGGGAATCATCTGCTCCATGCATGTTGGTTACAAGAAAGAGACGATTTATAGCAAGCATGTCAAACCCGTGGCCTGCGGGTATCTGCTCCATGCATGTTGGTTACAAGAAAGAGAATGATTTATAGCAAGCATGTCAAACCTGTGGCCTGCGAGTCACGTGCCTTGTTTATTTGGCCCTTGTTAGCCTTTGAATTTGACATGCCTGCTTTATAGCCAGAGGTGATTACTTAAGGTAATGATAAGCATGGGACACGTGGAGGTTTCCTATCTACAGAGGCTACGCTCAGAGAACTGAATGGAGTGCCCCTAGAGGGCAGGGTCTGACAGCACTGCATCGCCATAAGGTGAGGACTTGCCTTATACACAAATGGATTTTTCCTGGAATCAGTCAGTGTGTCAAATCTGGTGTAGAGGTCATTGAGGAGGTTGACAATCTTCATGGCCCCTTCCCCAGAGGCATGCTTGCTGCAGAACGCGTTGAAGCCCACGATGCCACTGAAGAGGATGGTCACATTGTCATATCTTTTAGCAGGCACGGGACGCTTGTGTCTCAGCTCATTGGCAACAGATTGAGGAAGGACGGAGTACAGCAACCTGTTCAGTGGGATCAGGAAACAGCCGTAGTAAGGAATGCGGGGACTAGGTCTAGTGCTTCTATTGACCATTTCATGGAACAATGATATCATTTGCTCTGTAAAGGCCTGGCTTCTTAGCTGTTTTTATGTCAAAACAAGACATACAGACAGTATAAATCATTTGTTTGATTTGAATTACATACAATTCCCCAAGGCCAAACCAATGCAAACCAAATCAAAATAAGCCAAACAAACACCAGACCAAACAAAGAAAAGTCAGCTTTCATTTCTAGGCCTGTGTTCTGACTCTGCTGTTAGGATAGTCACCATATGGAAGTTGTCACTACCAACCCTGAAAAAACGGCATGGCTAGCACACCAAGAGCATGCTTCTCTCTCCGGAATGAGAAACTGATTTCCATTGTTGTAAAGCAATATTGAGAGGAGCAGATTTCCTCCAATCGCCTTCATCCCTCACTCTTCTGTGGAAGAAACTGGCAACACAGGTGGACCTCGGTCTAGACAAGAAAATATTTTGTTTCTCCAGTCAATACTGAGGCTGCGACAATGGCCTCAGGGACCCTACTGAGGGGACAAGTGTGGTAAACACAACAGGAGAAGGGTGATCGCTGATGAATTTACAGGGAAAGAAACAGAAAGCAGGGAGACTGAGGACTCTGGGCACGAGGGCTCAGAGGGAAAAATGAAGCCTCCTTCCTTTCTCTTCTCTGTAGTCAGAGGGCATAACGTGTGACATAGAATGTACAACATGGAGCTGAGCTCACATTATTTTTCCTAGCTTTAGTGGAATTTCCCCAGTCTTTCATTTTTAACTTTCAAACGGAGAAAATTTCATAAACTATTTTAAAGCTATATTTGAACATTAAATGTGAACACTAGGACTACTTGGCTTTAAAGAAAAGAAACAGTAAAAAGGTTTATAATTAAATCACCTAGAGAAACAAATGTCTATAAAAAATAAAAACACTAAACCTGGGTGTTTTTCTAATATAACAGCCAGAGCAGAATACTAACTTGACTTTGAATCTTTGTCCTAAGGACTGTCTTACGTGCTCCACAAAATTTGATGTTTCTCATGGATTAAGTTGTATCACAGACCAATAAAACAGTTTGAGTTGTTTTTCAAGCAGTGGAAGGAATGTGAACTGTCTGTCCCATATATTTTCTGAATTTTTCAAAATACATGAATAGATTAAGGGGTTTGGTTTAGGACTGTGAGGAATGTTAAGTGGTCTATGAATGAATAGCTAACTGATGTTTTTATGTGTGGGCACAGCATCCATCCATGGGCAACTACACATTCATCAATGCAAAAAAAAGCATAGAAAGTGATGTTGTAACCAAGATTGTAAGTGCTCAGGTAGAGTAAAAGCTCATATGGAAGTAAGACAGAGGAGTTCAATTCTCCAACAAGATATCTTCCTATTATATAAACATTAAAAATGAACATACAAGGCCCTGGGTAAAATATCTTATGAACATCAGTGACTTAGTGCCTTTCATTACTATATGCAAGCAAGGCCAAGTAGTATGCCTGATGTGTATTTAAGTGAATTACTGAAGATGAACTACTACTTTAATGCTACTTGCCCAAAATTTCATAATTTCATCTACCATCCATAGAAAAAATAATTATAGCCTTATACTTCCATTTTTTGATAATGTTTGCCTTTACAAATATAATTGTTGTCATTACAGAGGACATTACAATCTGTCAGATTCATATCAGCCAATCTCTAAAATAATTCAGTCCCAAGAAAAGAAATCTTTTAAAATATAATGGCCAACTCTAAGTTCTGTGTGCAGTGTAACCCTCAGAACTTGGCCAGCCCTTGGCGCACAGAGGATGCTCAAAATATCCTTCTTGTATAAAGGAACGAATGAATGATAGTTGGATTTCAAACATCTGAATTATTGTAATGATTTTCAGAGAGCTGTATTGGCATTTATTCTTTCAGCTTGATTTGTAAAAATCGAAGACATATTCCCACCACCGTTGAGACTGATCTATTTCTGTATGCACAATTTCATTTTAAGTGATATGGAAGAGTTTACCTACTACTCTGGAGCTATAATGGCTCCCATGCCTTTTTAGTCTGACTATTGATCTTCACTGTAGTAGAGTCACCGTATACCTAACAGTCGTGCAAGGTCACAGGCTTACGTGTCTGTCTTTTTCTTTTCATCTTCCAGTGCTCTTAACGTGAGCTGCAGCCTGTCTGTCAGAATTTCCAGCTCCTGGGTCAGTTTGTATTCCTCTCTGAATTGTTCTCCCAAAAGAACGAGGTCCCGTGTGGCATCGTGCAGAGGGATGTCACTGAGATACAGGCCTCTCCTCGTCAAATCATCCAGATTCATCACACTGTTATATAGAGAAATGAGGCACAATCATTCCAGCTCACCCACATGAAAACACTAATGTTGATTGCTGTCAGGGAGCATACTACTTCCCTCTCCTAACATTCTAAAGCTTCTCGGGTTGAAGAAAAGAAAAGGAGAATCATTATTCATTCTTCTAGAGATTTCAAAATCTACCAAAGGGCAGTGAACTTAAAATGCGTTTTTGCCAAATTGTACTTTTAATGCTATTAGCCTACATTGAAAGATAACGTAGACAATCGCCCTATGCAACCTGCTCAAGTATTTAACACAAAGCTGTGATTTATTATCACATCTTCTCTCATTATCAAGAGATGAAAAAAATTGATCCTTACTCTCTTTAACAGGGATATGTGTGCTCCTTCTGAGAAACTTGTTCGTTTCTTCCTATAGATTCTGCGGCTCCTGTGACTGGTTGCTTTTTCTTTTCAGACATGATGATTAAAAGTTTACAACCAGATTTGTGACCCATCTTCTACAAGTACTTTATGTATTTACTAGAGGCCCGATGCACGAAATTCGTGCAAGGGGCTTGGCCTCCACCACCACGGCTTCATCCGGAAGGACGTCCAGTCTAATTAGCGTATTATTATAGATGACTTTCTGACACATATTTTTATATGCTATTCTTACTTCTGATTCTAATTTCTTATCTACTCTTACTTTCTTTGACTGATGTTCCTCATTTATTTGAATCAGTATATTAATTGCTGAAGTTTATGCATCTTTGCAACTTAAGCAATTTTTAGAAACAGCATAATATTTATTGATTCAGTGTAGACCTGGTAAATAAGAAGTAGCTTTTTAAAAAATGTTCTTAAAAAATTTAATCTTTGGGTAAAATGTCATAGGGTTATATTATTGGTATGAATTCTTTAAATGTAAATTAATTACTTTGGGACATTTACAATAATAATTTCTCTAAGATGACATAATTGAGATTTTCCTGAAGAATTATGGATTGCTAAAATGCCCCCCTGGAATACATTTTCAGCAGAAATGTCCATATTGCAAAGCAAAAATTAGCATGCCAACATAGAGATATAAAATGATCAAAACATTTACTAATGAAACACATGGTCTTTTTAGATTTTGTTAAAATGGATATGTAAGTAAAACTCACTTGCAGAAATAGACCTTTCTGGAAAGAGGCCAGATAATCTGCTAACTGGTATAGGACTGCCCATGAACAGAGAAAAAAAATATTATATGCTTAAAATAAAAATGAATGGTTATGGCCCTTGCTGGGTTGGTTCAGTGGATAGAGTGTCAGCCTGCAGACTGAAAGGTCCCAGGTTCAATTCCAGTCAAGGGCACATACTCATGTTCTGAGCTCAATCCCCAGTAAGGGGCATGCAGGAGGCAGCCGATCAATGATTCTCTCATCATTGATGTTTCTCTCTCTCCCTCTCCTTTCTTCTCTGAAATCAATAAAAATGTATTTTAAAAATGAATGGTCATGAATATTCAGACTAAGTTAAAAACAATCAAATTATGTCTCATTTTTTTAAAAAATTATTTATTATTTTGTCAAACTATCAAGATTTTTTCTAAATTTCAACTAATTATCTTGAAATTATTTTAGAAGTAAAACTGCTCTTAGTTGATCTCTTAAAATTCAATGTGAGTATGTCTTTTTTCACACAGGGACTGGTACCACATAACAATCTGCATGTGTGTCACTATGTAACTAATTTCTGCATATGATAGTTAAGAAATAGACTCCAAATTTTCTGCTCTGTTTCCATAGAAACCTTCATCACCATGAATAGAAACTGTTCCTATTGAGAAGCTCTCGAATACTAAAGTTCTACTTGGAAAGAAGCAGAAGAAAAAAAACAATATTGATGGCAGATAAATATATAATTAGACCAATGCAAATTGTTAATAAAAAAAATAAAGTTTATGTTCCCTACTTTTGTCTTTCAAAATCTGTTTTTATTGATAATTTTAGAGAGAGAAGAAGGAAAAGGGATAGAGGTACACTATAAAATCGACTTACACTTCAGAATATGTAGACATGATTGAATAAAATGCTATAATAATAATAATAATAGGAAGCAGTTACTGATTGCTTATAAGGGACAAGGACAGAGACAGGCCAAGTAACACACCCAGCTAATAACGAGGGAGAGATTTCACCAGAGTTCTGCCAGGGTGTAAACATAGTGCTTCCCTTACAAACACTGCAAATAAACGAGTTAATTCTCTCTGAGCACAGAAAGCCAGTAGGTATACTACTGTTCACATATTTATTTAAAGCTCCCATTATTATTTCTGGTTTTCCAGTATGGCTACGATATAATACCCTGTCTTAAAAAAACACACTAAATAAAAAAAAAACCAAAAAAAAAAAAAAAATACAAGCCTTGCCACTCCTCACCCCTGCATTCACAGAACACCTGGAAATAATTCCAAATACATAAAGTATGTGTACATAGGACCTTTGGGAAGGCTGTAAGAAGGATGAAGTGTGTACTTCAGGACACCTTTGCTCTATCAATCCCAAAGACAGAAACTGTGAGATCTGGGTACTACCTAAATTATCAACTGAATGAATATTTTATCATTCTTATTTCCATCACAAAAATGGAACCAAGAATAACAGACACTTGAAGGAAGTGGGTGAAGTTTAAAAAAAATCTTTATCAGTTCTTCTGACTCCTAAAATAGGACATCGCAGCTATACCGGGGCTAAAAGATGTTGGTTTAATATGTGAAGCTGGGTTGTCCCAGCGAGGCATTCTCAACACTTACTTTTGTCAATGCTGACCAGGTGACAGAGTCTCATTGCTCCTCCGGAAAATAAAAACTCAACAGTGTCACCTTTGAAATAGGACTCCTTTTGAGGTTTGCTTCTGATCTAGCTATACCTCCTCCAACTTCTAGAATGGCATAATGGCTTCTTTCCCCCCAGAACACTTCTAGTATGTAACTCACCCTTCTTACTCACATTTAATAAAACAATATCTTGCTTACCTTGCTTCTCAATACGAAAACCGTATTGATGTGTGAAAGGATCCCATGGAAACTAATGTCAATATGAGGACGGACCAGAGAGAAGACAGACAAAAGGCTGCAAGTGCCAGGCTGGAGCTAAAATGTAGATAAAAAGAAAAAGAACACCTATTTAAAACAATGTTTATTTTATATTATTAGATTAATCAGCTCAATTGTATATAAGCACAGAAATATATTATTTTGTAGGAAAGTTACCTCAATTATGGACTCATATCTTGACCTATGCAACTCGGTGATTAAATGGACATCAAATAGTTCCATGAACATAAAACCTAATATGGATTCAGATGACCAATATTCAAAAATAATCTCACAAAAATAAGAAAAGTATTTTCAACGGAGAATGGAAATTTCTCTTTGAAAATGTAGCATGACCTATTAAATGCCAATGGCTTAAAGTGAAATTTAAATATCAAGACCCTCATCAAACACAGTTTATCAAGAGATGGTTAATAATAATAATAATAGGAAGCAGTTACTGATTGCTTATAAGGGACAAGGACAGAGACAGGCCAAGTAACACACCCAGCTAATAACGAGGGAGAGATTTCACCAGAGTTCTGCCAGGGTGTAAATATAGTGCTTCCCTTACAAACACTGCAAATAAACGAGTTAATTCTCTCTGAGCACAGAAAGCCAGTAGGTATACTACTGTTCACATATTTATTTAAAGCTCCCATTATTATTTCTGATAATAATGAGGGAGAGCCTTAGCCAGCAAAAGCCTGGGCTTTTTGGATTTATAGGTTTATGCCTGATCCCATGTGGGCTAATCCTGGACTATCAAGTCTCTTTAATTACAAGTAAAAATTATTTCTGGATACATGTCAGGTACAACTCCAAAAGTTGGTAGAGTAGAAAGGAAGGTTTTTACAACTGGGTCAGGATAATGCCAATCAAACGCGAGTCTCATCATGGCCTCCACTGCTGTCCTTTGATGCTTGTTCTACCCAGTCCCATGATAAGCTCTGTCATTTTTAGTGTTTTTTAAGCTCTCTTCTTTTCCCTGAACATGTCAAAGGTTGATTTTGAAAGCTATTTTCAGATAGTAGATATCCAGTGAATATTCATTCAATGAATAAATAAGTGAAAGTTGATTGTTATTAGAAAGTTATCCGTTATCTCATTTTTAAAAAGTATAGCATTCCCACTTGCTGTCTTTATTTTTTCAATCCTCATGTAAGAATATTTTCTCCATTGAATTTTAGAAAAAGTAGAAGGGAGGGAGGAAAGGAGAGAGAGAAAGAGAGAGAGAGAGAGAGAGAGAGAGAGAGAGAGAGAGAGAGAGAGAGAGAAACATTCATGTGAGACAGATACATCACTTGTTTGCCTCCTGCACAGGTCCTGACTGGGGTAAGGATGAGCTTGCAACCTAGGTATGTGCCCTTGACCAGAAATCGAACCTGAGACCTTTCACCCTTCAGTCCATGGGCCGACACTCTAACCACTTAGCAAACCCAGCCAGGGAAGCCAAAACTGGTTTGGCTCAGTGGATAGAGCGTCGGCCTGTGGACTGAAAGGTTCCGGGTTCGATTCCGGTCAAGGGCATGTACCTGGGTTGCGGGCCCATCCCCAGTGGGGGATGTGCAGGAGGCAGCTGATGGATGTTTCTCTCTCATCTCTATTTCTAACTCTCTATCTCTCTCCCTTCCTCTCTGTAAAAAATCAATAAAATATATTTTAAAAAAAACAAACCAGCCAGGGCAGCACTTGCCCCACTTTTAATAGAAAAAAAAAAAAAGAAAAAACCTGTTGTAGGAAAGGTAGCATTATGTTTAAATATACTATGCTCACATTTAAACAATTTATGTAATATACGATATGCTGCACACCATGTAATACATAGTTGAAAGGTAAATAAAGGAATGTCCACATGTAACAATAGCACCTTTATGGCCTTTTGTCTCAGTCCCCAATGAAGTGGGATGTCATTTACCTGGGGAAGCACTCTGTATATGGCATTGCCACACTGAGTGACCACTAGGTCCCGGTCAAATATTATGTGGAAAGGAAAAGCTTTGCAGAAGGTGTAGGGGCTGATGCGTGAGTCCTGGGTACCATTTTCTTCAAATCTGTCAAGATCTTCATAAAAATCCTCTTCTTTAGACTCTTTTTCTTCAATTAAAAATTGAGTATGATCACATTCTTCATTTCTTTGCTGAATAACCTGGATGCCAAAGGGAAAAATGGTCTTAATTGTCTTCATTTCAATTTACTTAAAAAGGCCTAAGTACCTAAGAAACTGGTTTTGAGAATTGCATTTAGAGGGTTAATTTTAAAAATTTAATGTGTGCAAATGCTACACATGCCTAAAATAGAAAACATTGTCTGGACATTTATTTATGAAACTTGAAGACTGAATAATTATTCACAGTAAAATTGTGAATCTGTTATCAGTCCCCTAGTAGCCTGTACAGACTCTGGTAGAATTGGAGGAAAAGCAATCTCTTATCCTGGTGTGCTTAGCCAGCCGTAGGCAAACTATGGCCTGCGGGCCAGATTCAGCCCGTTTGAAATGAATAAAACAAAACAAAACAAAAAAGACCGTATCCTTTTATGTAATGATGTTTACTTTGAATTTATATTAGTTCACACAAACACTCCATCCATGCTTATGTTCCAGCCCTCCGGTCCAGTTTAAGAACCCATTGTGGCCCTTGAGTCAAAAAGTTTGCCTACCCCTGGCTTAGCCTCTAAGCCTGGCACATTACTATAATGAATGACCTACACACTATACAAGTAGTATTATTTAACATGTTAAAAATAATATTTGCAGACAAAAATAAAATAATAGAGGCACATATTTAAAAATACATGCAATGTCACTTTTTTACCCATCGATTGGCAAGTCTATAAAATTACAATACCAAGTTGGTTAGGATACATTAAAACATAAGGCTGAAATAGGGTGTTCCTCTCCCCACTTTTCTCAAATTTGGGGCCACTGAAAAATGGCTCTTTGGGCTGAATATGCTGAGCACACAAAAAGCAGCTCACTGGAAGAGACTGTCTGGATTAAATATGGAAAAATGATGGTTCTCTTTATTGCATAACTAGAGGCCCAAAGCACAAAATTCGTGCAAGGGGCTCAGTCCTCCCAGCCTCTGCTTCCTCAGGACCCTGCGGCCTCACCCACTGGTCATTCAGAAGGTCGTCCGGAAGGTCATTCCACCCACCATCTGGTCTAATTAGCATATTAGCTCTTCATTATATAGGATTGTATTCATATCTTGAAATTCTCACCTAAAACTAACAACCTGTATTATCAATAGCAACACCTTTTTAAAGTATGAGACCTGGCTTCTTTCAACAAGTAATCTAATTTTTTTTAAAAAAGCAAAACTTTTAGTTCACAAAATAAGATATTCCAATGATATTTCAGGGATAGACAAGAAAACGCACAAGGAAACAATGCACAGTAATATAATATCTAATTTTATATTACCATAGAATTTGACTGTCCGTGTTATGGAGGGTATTTTTTTTTTTTTGTATTCTGAAGGACACAGCTTAGCCAGTCCCATATCCTCCTGCTTCCCAGCTACGGGGTGCTCACAGAGAATGCAAACTAAATTAAGCAATGTATAAAAAGAACTCTGCTGAGACAAAGGGGAAAAATCGCCTGTATTCCTATATATCCTTGCATGCCAAGGCCAAGCATAGACTTCTGGTGATGCCAGTGTTACGGTTTATACTAGTACTAGAGGCCCGGTGCATGAAATTCGTGCACTGGGGATGGGGGTGGGGTCCCTCAGCCCAGCCTGTGCCCTCTCACAATCCAGGACCCCTCGCTCCTTACCGCCCGCCTGCTTGCTGCTCCCTACCGCTTGGCTCATTGCTCCTTAGTGCTGCTGCGGTGGCGGGAACCTCCACTGAACTCACCAGCCGTGAGCCCGGCTCTGGCTGAGCAGCACTCCACCTGTGGGAGCACACTGACCACCACGGGGAAGCTCCCATGTTGAGCATCTGCCCCCTGGTGGTCAGTTCATAGCGACCAGTCATTCCACCATTCGGTCGATTTGCATATTAGGGTTTTATTATATAAGATATAACTTTGGTGAGTTCCACTAGCTGCAAGAATTAAAGGTAAATTCACTGAGCACCACTTTTAATATTCTGCCATCTCTATTTAGAAGCATCTCCATTACTGATCATTACCTTCATGTCGATTTCAGTGCCATGTATTTGTTGAGCTACTGTTTTAATGATTCCGATGACAATATCCTGAAGTCCTTCTCTCTCTGAGTAGTAGTGCAGAATGAGTCCTTTGCCCTTATCTGCATCAGTGCACCTAAAGGAAGGTGCACGCATGCCTGGGTAGATAGTAGCAAGGTGGTCATGCAGAGCATCGAGGTTCTGCAATGAAGAGGAAATGGTGATGAATAAACAATGCTCCCACAATGGCAGCTGACTCCTGGAAAGCAAGATAAAGACAGAAGGCTCAATCTGAGCTTAGTGGGCAGATCAGCCGAGTAAACATTCACACAGCACGCCCTTCCCTTGCGGCACTGAGACATCTGTAAGGCAAGAACCACAGAGAACTTGAAACTCAAGTAGAGTAATTAAAACAAACATCCGTGGCTATTAATAGTTAATGCATCTTAAGAAAAGATAAATAAACAAGTGGGGTAAAAAAAAAAAAAGAATGCCTGAAGCAGAAAAAAAGAAACATAGTTAGGGCTAAAGCAAAAATATACGTATTTAGAGGTTTGGGGCAGCTATATATGCATGGCAAATCATTTCATGGTAACATAGCAGTTTACCCAATTTTTCTAAGACTTGATTTTTTCTGATAAAATGGAGATAACTAAAATGATATATATAAAACACTAAGCACATCCCAGATGCAGCAAGCAAAATAATGGTGCTCCCCCAAATTTCCATGCCCCAATTCCTTTGAATATGATACCTCTCCTGGCAAAGGAGATTTTGCAGATGGGATCAAGGTTATGGATCCTGAATTGGGAAGGAGGTCCTGCATGATCCTGGTGGACCCAGCTAATCATATGAGACCTTCAAAGCCAGGACCCTTTCCTGGTTATAGGGACAGAGAAGCGTAATGACAGAAGGTCAAAGAGATGGTGGCATGAGAATGATACTTTGTTCCAGGTTCTGAGATGTAAGAGACTTATGTGAAGGGAGGAGAGAGGCCTCCAGGACCTCTCAGCAAAAACATCAGTTCATCCCCATCGCCTGTAGGGGCTGCTATTGTCATGTAAAATATGACAGACACGAAGTATTGGAAGTTAATATATAGACTACAAGCTGCTTGAGTCCCAAAACTATTTTACTTGGTTATGTAGTACGAGGCGTTCTTCCTATGACAAGTTCTTCTCAGGGTAATTCTTTTCTGAGAAGGGAAGACCTGGACACATAACCCTCCCAGATTCCATCTGCTGATGTCGCAAAAAGGTTATAAGAGCCCTGGCTGGTTTGGTTCAGTGGATAGAGCGTTGGCCTGCAGACCAAAGGCTCCCGGGTTCGATTCCAGTCAAGGACGCTATCTTGGTTGCAGGCACCTCCCCGACCTGGGTCCTGGTTGGGGCAAATATAAGAGGTAACCAATCAATGTGATTCTCTCACATCAATGTTTGTCTCTGTCTTTCCTTCTCTCTTCGACTCTCCCTAAAAATCAATGGAAAAATATCCTCAAGGGAGGATTAACAACAACAACAAAACTTTATGAGAAAATCTGGTGAGGAAAAAAAAAATGATCGAAGAGTTTTATACTTATCTCCATTTCCCACAAAGCCAAAATTGAGCTTGTTGCTGCATTTAGGTAAGTACTTAATGTCCTCAGGTTCAGTACTGTGTTGTGGCTCATTTTAAAGGAATAAAGATAAGTCAACCAATAATTTGAAAAATATATTTTAATAATATTGTTTCAATTTTCTCTCTGTAAAAAATTGAAATTTGTAATTTTCAAATACAGCAACGTATTTATATCATAAGTCAATATGCCTATATCATTTTCATACTCATCTATTTTCATCTTGTTAATATTGTATTAACACATTTCTACATGCAGCTACGTCATGAGTCACAAAGAGATAGACACTTTAGTCCTGGCCGATCGCTCAATTGGTTAGAACATCGTCCTGATAAGCCAAGGTTGTCAGGGCACATACAAAAAGCAACCAATGAATGCATCAATAAATGGAATAATAATTAAGTCTCTCTCTCTCTCTCTCTCTCTCTAAAAATCAATTTAAAAAAATTTAAATTAAATAAAAGATAGGCACTTCATCCTAAATGCTGAGCCATTTTTATTTAAATAAAGAAATAAATATTACTAATAGCATGTTGCTTAATTTATTGCTTCAAAGCAAGTGGGAAAGCAAAACATTTGAAGTCAGAATGTTCATCTTTTAGTCTTTGCGGTAACCAAGTCTCCAGAGATTTACTGTTTTATTGAATTTACTGTTAATTAAATGGACAAGCTAAGTGCTTTCCTGCAACATGAAAGCTTTAACACCACTTAATGCAATATTGATTTTCTTTAGATAGCATCTAACATAAAAACACTCTTGGGATTTCTTAAGTTACAGCTTTCCTTAGTTGGTTTTACTCTTTCAAAATTGAAGTGATTGCCACAGCCTATCTAATATGAGAAATGGAATTCGTGATTAAAAATTAAATTATTTTCATTTGAGTACACTTATATTGCTAAAAATGTACCTTCACCATAGATTAGAATTGTTTACAGCCACATTGAAGGCCAAAAAAAGATTCTTAAAATAGCCTAGATAAAACCTTGACTACATTTTATAGTATGATTTATACAAAGCTAATCATTTATCCACATGGCTGTAGCAATGTATTTTGGAGAATAAAAGTTTCATATTAAAACTGGTATTCTATGTGTTTTTTTTTTTTAAATATACCCGTGGAAGCAGGTATACAAAGAAAAAAATATACACATTACAAAGAAGTATATACATTATGTGTGTGTGGCAGGGGGGCAGATTGAGCAAGAAAAAGAGAGAATTCATGGATAACAGTGATTGTTGGGGTGGATGGGGGGGTGGATGGAGGTAGAAGAGGGCATAGAGGGATAAATAGTGATGAAAAAAATAAAAATTTTAAAAAGGAAGTATACACATTAAACATAAGGAAAAAAAGTGAACACATACATATATTCCAGCACAAGTAGATTCCAAGAATCAATAAAGAAAACCTCAAATGTGCTTCCCCTTCATTCTTCTCAGCTTTATGAAATTAGGACACGGGAAAGGGCTAGAGAGCAGGCCTACCATCTTTTTTGCCTCACATGCCAAAAAGTTACTCTGAGGTTTTCGTTTTGTATCTTAACACCCTGATATCATTTAACTGGTTTTGGGAGAAGCAAAATAAATGTACTTTTTCTCAGACCCATGAGTCCAGTTCATCTTGTCACCTAGTGCTTATCATTTGCAGAAGAAAAACGAGTGCTGGCATCCGGGAGACGGTATGGAGTGCTCCATGTAGCACATTCCACAGATGGAGGCAGCCAAAGAGAATGTATCCTTCCACTGAGAAACACTGAAGTTCTATATGTTGAAAGATCTCGGAATGTTTCTACATAAATGCAAATTTTCTTTGTAATATGCACGGCAAAAATGAGTGCATACACAATTACAGAGGCAAAATTTCTAGAACTCAGCTACTTCTTTTTCCAGGCTTCCCGGGCATTTAATTAAAAATCCCTAAAATCCACATAAGTGGGCAGAGTAAGACCTCGCTTCGAAAGTTTTGAGACAGAGAGATGTTTCCGTCTTTAAGAATCCCAGGGGATGGGAAAGCGGGAGCTATCTGTGTTACTGGAGAACGTTACTGGCACTGAGATCTGGAAGAAATCTTAAGATCAGTCCTTGCAAACCTCTTTTTTTAAGGAAAAAGGATGGAACGCAACATTTCCTTTCTTTTCATTCCTCACACTTCTGACAAACAAGACCAACGCCAACATTTACTTGTGCGAGTCCTGTAATTTGACAAATATTTTAAGTGTTATAAGAAAGGGGTCATCTTAGAATTTGAACATGAGAAATTTAAGCAGGCAAGACCTCAATAAAGTGGAAAACACAACCCCATAAGAATGGTCAGCACCAAGGTCAGGGTGTGAGCAGCATGAGGTCAGAGTAAGGAAGTTGACACTTGAAGGCTCCTGTTCCTGCCTTTTCTCCTTGGAGCTGCTCCTTGAGAAATAGCCCTCCCACTGAAAAGACACAGAAAATATTTTTTTTCTTTTAAGAAATAATGTAAGATTTTAAAAAAATTATACCAGTTACTAAAATTCTTTAAATAATAACACTTTGAAATTACATATAACTATCATTACCATCCTCTCAAGATAAATATTTTAAAGAAAAAGGGCAAGTAATTATAGAATTGCCTGTGTAAAATATTTCACTTACGCTATAGCTCTTAAACGCATGTGTTGTTTTTTTTTAAAAAAAATCCCTGCCCTGGCCGGTTTGGCTCGGTGGATGGAGCATTGGCCTGGGGACTGAGGGGTCCCGGGTTCGATTCCGGTCAGGGGCATGTGCCTTGGTTGCGGGCACATCCCCAGTGGGAGGTGTGCGGGAGGCAGCTGATCGACGTTTCTCTCTCATCGATGTTTCTAACCCTCTATCCCTCTCCCTTCCTCTCTGTAAGAAATCAATAAAGTATATTTAAAAAAAAATCCCACTTATATAATACTGTATTTGAAAATCAATATTATGAAAATATATACCAGCTACTCAAATACTTATCTTCCTTTAAAGTCCTCACTTGTCCATTTAAAAACTGCAGGTTACAGAAATTAACGTTTTGGATGTTGAAAAAAACAGGTCCTTTGGAAATCCAAAAGTTAAAAATAAAATGAATGGAGCATTTTTTTTCTAAGAAACATTGTAAATAATTTAGGGAAGTATTAGAATTTCACAGCTGTTCAGGAAAATCCTCACATTTCCCAGAATAACACTTTGGACAAACATTTAAGATTTTAGATCGGTCATCAATCCCAGATTGCTCCTGGTGGGCTGGCCACAGCGCTGTGTTTTGGAGGCCAAAACATGGAGTTGTCGTGACCTGGAAATCCCACTACAGGCTGCACAGAGGCCCTGAGAGGAACCCCCACGTATATGAATTGAGGGAATGGGTGAAACCGCCCACTGAACGAGCCAGTGTTTCCTAAACTCTGACAGAATATTTGTAGTATGATTCAACTGAGATTTCTATGCATATTTAAACAGGCCCATGATTTAAATTCTAACTCTTCTCTCAGATTGCATTGGCATCCTTAGAAGCTTATTTTAATTTCATTTCACCTCTGTGAAATCACTGGGTAAAGAAAATATAATGGGATAATAACGGAACAGCACTAAAAATGAATTGGTAGCCCTGCTGTGGACTGACTTGGGTTCCATTCCTGAAAGCCATATATTATCTTATCAATGATAACCAATACTCAAAGCTTCCAACTCAAGGAAATCAGTCTAGTTTAGTATGTGGCTGTCTACTCCTCTATATTCTATCTATGATTTATCTCTAAATAAAATTACATAGTTTCATCTAAAAGGGGGTTTTTGTTATTCTTAATAAAACATTTAAGTCCTAACCGGTTTGGCTCAGTAGATAGAGTGTCGGCCTGCAGACTAAAGGGTCCCAGGTTCGAGTCCAGTCAAGGGCATGTACCTTGGTTGTAGGTACAGCCCCAGTAGGGGGTGTGAAGGAGGCAGCTTATCGATGTTTCTCTCTCATCAATGTTTCTAACTCTCTATCCCTCTCTTTTCCTCTCTGTAAAAAATCAATAAAATATATTTTATAAAAACATTTAATCTTGAGGCTACGGTCATATTTGCTTCCTATTTTTACACAAAGAGCACATCTTCTTAAAAAAAAATAAAAAGACAGATATTCATTCCCAGATAGACAGATTGTATCTGTGGAGATACCATCATTAAGAGATTATACATGGTCTCTGGGCTTCATGGAGTTTACATTCCAGCCCAACAAACAGGAAATGATAATACAGTATGAGAACAACTATGGCTGGGAAAATAAATGTACTATGAAAACATGAGAAATGCCAATGACCCAGAAGAAGTAATTTGACCAGCAGGATAAACAGAATTTATCGAGGTGAAAAGGAGCATGAACAGTATTCCAAATGAAGGAAAGAGCAGATGCAAAAACTCAGAGGATAAAGAGAGCAAGATTTAAAAAAAAAAAAAAGTAAAGTTATGTTTGGGTGGGCTGCAGAAGAGGGAGAGGCAGAATGTATAGGGAATGTAAGTGGTTTCAGTCATTTTAACGATTTTTGACATTGCCCAATGAGCAATGGGGAATCACTGAAGGGTTTAAGAAAAAAAAATTTTTTTTTAATGGTATGATGAGATATATTTGCATTTCAGAAAAGTCACCCAAGTCATAGAATAGAGATGAGATTGGAGGAGTCATGAGAGAGATAGAGAAATCATCCAATCTTTACACAGAAGTGTAGGGGGAATGAAGAAAAGTGATAGAACTCCCCAAATCCAGCCCCATATAGCTATTGGCTATCCTATTAACAGTGCAGCCCTGGAACAGAGAGGAACACACCAGAGGCGGCTTGCTCTCTCACGGCACCATGACAACCTTACCAGGTGGCCACCACGAGCCAACGTAAAACAAAAACAATGTGAACATTTGTCGTGCTGTGTAAACGTGGCCATTGAGAGAAAGATGGAATTAAGACAGAGAAAATGCAAATTCAGACTTTGTTGATAAGGTGACAGTTTAAAAAAAAAAAAAAGGAAGATGTATTTCAAAATCCAAAGTCTTAAAATACTTTCAAATATCACACTGAAATCCATTTAACATAATTCATTTAAATACAGCCTGTTCTCGTTTAATTTACACATCTCCTGGCAGCCACTCCATTTGGAAGTGGCAGCGTTCTTGGACCCAGTAGTTAGGTAAATCCGCGGCAGGCGATCGCAAATCAGTTTCCATCTTGATTTAATGCTGTTTTAAGTTTATAAGAAAAATGTCACTGTGTAAACAACAGACATTTTGATTAAACACCAAAGTTCTTATTTTGGCTGTTAAATCAATAATGCAGCTGGACTGGAAGTCGTTTACATTCCCTCAAAACTGGGCTTCGGTTCAGCTACTATTGCACTGACATCATTTTCCAGCAAGATCTGGCGGCTCTAGGCAGCCAGTTTGGAAATATCCTTTACAAACAACCACATAATTTTCAACATTAACACATCAAGAAGAAGGTCTCACAAATGGCCTCTGCTTAAAATAGGACAGACAATCCAAAAATAGTCTTTCATCGAATGTGTGCTTCACTAGTAAAAATCTTGTAAGGTAATTTTAGCAGGACTATAAGACAAAGGCGTTTGGTGACATTATTTATCTTGTCCTGCACCTGAAATTGCCTTTGCAAGGCCTCTTACTTTCCTTTCTCCAGTAGATTCTTTAATTAATTAGTTACATTAATTACTATGTAACTCAGAGTTATGATTCTCAAATTTGCTTTGGTGGCAGAGCACCTGTAAGCCAGCGGGCTTTTTCCTAAACAAGCTCCGGATAGAAAGTCGTAGATACTGACATACTATTTGCTTATGCTATGCAAAATAAAGGAATTAAGGAATGCTTTGCAAAATAATAATAATAATAATAAAACCATGTTGTAGAGCCAAACATAAAACCAAAACTAGTATCAAATACTACCATTAAAAAAAAGGCAGTTGGGCCTGCCCAGTGTGGCTCAGTTGTTGAGTGTCAACCTGTAAGTCAGGAGGTCATGGTTTGATTCCCAGTCAGGGCACTTGCCCGGTTGCAGGCTCAATCCCCAGTAGGGGGTGTGCAGAGGACAGCCAATTCTCATCATTGATGTTTCTATCTCTCTCTCTCCTTCTCTCCTTTCCTCTCTGAAATCAATAAAAACATTTTTTTAAGGGCAGTTGGATATACCACAATAGGCCATGATGAGTTTTTCAAAGAACCTTAATTTACAACTTGCATATTTATAGTCATCAAAGGCTAAAAGAAAAAATATGAAGCAAAAATGCTAAAAATGTATTCAAGACCTAATAACTAGTATTTTATTGAATTCCAAAAAAATGTCACTATGATTCCATTTCAGCAGCAAGACACTCTTATACAGCTGGCTGAACAATAGGATGCTAGAATCTATGTTAAAGTATCATGAATTTAGCACTTTTAATAAGACCTCGAATCGCTTACCTGTAGGAACTCCCTGACATTAGATCCCAGGACGCGCAAGATTGTATCATAACCAGATTCTTGACAAAAGACAAAAAACATCTTCCCAAACATTTGGAGGATTTCTCCAGCGTTGAGATCTATTTTATAGGTTTGAAAGAACAATAAAAACAAAACATACACGTAGGCTATTATTCATGGGAAGAAGGAAGATAACCGAATAACAACAAAATGTTAAATATCCTCAATTTTTGTGCCTGGTGAATATACATCACATGAAAAATTTCTGGCCAGGACAATACAATGAAACCTGAGAAGACAATACATTACCATGCTAACACTGTACATTTGTACTTAATAGCAAAGCAATCAGTTTCTCGGCTTCCATGACAAACTAGTTAATTAATTTTAAGCTTTTTAAAAATGTATATTTAATTTAGAACTTATTTTTTTCTGAAAAATACAGGAAGAGCCTGAAAATCATCCAGAATGCACATGACAATATTTTGGTATAGAAGGATTTTTCTTTATCTCAATACACATATTAATAAATTGGTTACATATAGTATGTACCCTAATTTCCTGCTTTTTTGTTTATATCCAATTATTATTTCTTAAAACTTTAAGATTTTTTCTGTAATTTCAATCACTACCTCACTCAACACAGAGATGCAACATTTTGTTTAATTTATCCCCTTATTCAAAATGTAAGCTTTTCTAAATTTTGATACTATAAGTAACCCTGAAGTGAAAGCACATAAATGTTAATGCAAATAAAACTAATAATTTTCTTTGGAAAAATTCTTAAAAGGTTTAAATATTTTTTAAGTGTCTGATTTATTTTTAAACTCTATCCTTGACTACACAGATAGTTAATTTTCAAAAATTGACAAATTTATATGAAAGAAAATCATACTTGTTTCAATTTGATTACAAATGAGATTGGATATTTTCTTCTTATTATTAACAATTCACCATTTTTCTTTGTAATTCTTATATTCTGCAACAGACAGTATTTGCTCTACTAGTTATATTTGGCAAAGCTGAAAAGCTTTTTTTATATTCTACCCAAAGCCTAGTTATAAATTAAGTACTCTGAGAATAAGAGACACTACTTTCAGACTTGTTTTTATAAAGCTATTTTTTTTAACTTTGCCTTCATTGCATAAGTTTTGTCTGACATAGATCTATTTCCTGTTTCTTTTACCAATAGCTAACAAAACTTATTATAAAAGAGATTTGGGAATCATATTTTCTCCATTCCACAATGCAGTAATGAGTAATTATTACACTGTGCAATTCTGTGCTGTTGACATAGTAATGTATTATTACATTATTGAAATTACTACATTAAGAAGCAATCATTTATTTTTTCTTCCCCAACATATGGCTTTCTGTGGGGAGGGGCAAAGAGCTCCTCTAGTCTCTAAAGAGTTCGTAAAAGGAGAAATAAACTGAGCATAGCCTGAGCCTAACATTATATGTAACTGTCTTCCCATCAGGGTCATGCAATGCATAACCTACATCCCTGTACATCCTATATAATACTACTAAAAGCCTAATATGCTAAATGTTCCATCAAAGGGTCGGCTGTTCAACCAATCAAAGCATAATATTGTAATGATATGCTAAGGCCTCTCAACTGCTCTCTGTGATGTGCACTGACCACCAGGGGACAGACAGTCGACTGGTCGACCAGTCACTATGACGTACACTAACCACCAGGGGGCAGACGCTACGACCAGTAGGTTAGCTTGCTACTGGGGTCCGGCCAATCCGGATTGAGTGAGATGGGCCAGACATGCCCTGGAGCCCTCCCACGGTTCCTCCTGGCTGGCCAGCCTCTCACATCTCTCCCTGTCCCCCATCGTGCACCGGTGGGGTCCCTTGGCCTGGCCTGCACCCTCTCACAATCCGGGACCCCTCGGGGGATGTCAGAGAGCCAGTTTCGGCTCAATCCCACAGGCCAGACCGAGGGACCCCACTAGTGCACGAATTCATGCTCCAGGCCTCTAGTCACTATATAATGGACTATGCATTCCTTTGCACTTGTATGTGTAACCTGGCCAAAGAAGGAAAGTCACATTCAACTTACTGAGGACTTTGCTTGCAGCAGCAACCAAATCATACGTTTTAGAATCATCATATATTATTCTGACAAGAAACTGTCCTTCTTCATCTAATTGTGCCTCTTTTCTGGAAAACAAAAATGAGAGAGAAAAGAAAAAAAGCTGGAATAAAAGAATAGGTTCTATAATTACAATGATTGTATAAAGAATGGCTTTATATCTGAAATATAACTTCTTTTTGGCAAATTTGTTTAAATCAATGCGCTGTACTTAAAAGTCTGGTGGTTAAGAGGAAATTATTTCACATCCCCCTCCCCAAATTAAAAGGACATAGGTAAGTATATTTTAGCAGGGATAACATTTCTATAGTACTTTAACACCCAGTCCAACACCTGATATTAAATATAACCAAGAAATGACTTTTGGTTTAATAAATAATTAGCAAATATTTGTTTAGTTCCTATCTATGCCGGGCATTGTTCTAGGCACTGGGAATACAGTGTTTAGTAACGTAAACAAAAATACCTGATTACCTGGAACATTCATATTCCGGGAGGGGAGACAGAAGGGGCATAAAACTCATTAGTGACAAATATAATGGTAAGTTGTTTGGAGAAACATAAAGCCTGATAAGCATAAGGAGTTCAAGTACAATAATTGGCAGCTCACTGAGTAGCCGGAAATTGAGTGGAGTCTGAAGGAGCTCTGGGAGTGAGCCATGAGCCAGTGGGGACGTGTGTTCTGGGCAGAGGGATGAGTACATGCAAAGGGCTAGACAGGAGCAGCCTGGGGAGTTGTGGGAACAGCGGGGGCTGGGGCTAAAACAGAGGCAGGGCAGAGTAGCTGTCAGGGAACAGATCAGAGAGGTAACGTGAGGTTGGATGTTGGAATGACTGACATTTACTTGAAAGAGATGGAGGGTCCTGGTACTTGTGATATGAGCACTGAGACTAGTGGACCTGGTTAAAGGGATCGACCCTGCTACTGCATTGAGAATGGACCAAAGGGCCTAGGACAGAGCAAGGAGACCGGTGAGAAGGCTACCGCCAACATTCTGGCGAGAAATGCCGCTGACTTGGTTCAGAGCAGAAGCAGAAAAGGGAGTGAGAAGTGGCCCATGTTGGGATATATTCTGAAGACAAATTCAACATGATCTGCTGAGAGGCTGGATGGAGGGTGTGAGAGAAGGAAAGGACACAAAGATGATACTAAGGTTTTGGCCCGAGCAACTGGATAGATGTTGTCCCCAATTCAGATAGCAGCTGAATTGGGAAAGACTGTTGAGGTGGACAGGCGGGTAAGATAAAGAGCTGTGCTTTCAACGTATTAAAGTTTGAGTGCCAAGTGTACTGAAATCATCTTCTAACACAGTGGTCGGCAAACTCATTAGTCAACGGAGCCAAATATCAACAGTACAACGATTGAAATTTCTTTTGAGAGCCGAATTTTTTAAACTTAAACTATATAGGTAGGTACATTGTTATTAACTTAATTAGGGTGCTCCTAAGGCTTAGGAAGAGCCACACTCAAGGGGCCAAAGAGCCGTATGTCTTGTTTCACGGAGAAGGGAACCAAAGGCCAGAGAGGTGACGTATCTTGTTGAAGGCCATAACTTACGGTCAGAATCAGATCTAGAACTTACCATCCCTAGTACCACCTCTGTCTCATATTTGTTCTTATCCAAGGTTGGATGGCATCCCTGGGGCTTACAAGGGTCTAACACAGTGGTCGGCAAACTCATTAGTCAACGGAGCCAAATATCAACAGTACAACGATTGAAATTTCTTTTGAGAGCCGAATTTTTTAAACTTAAACTATATAGGTAGGTACATTGTTATTAACTTAATTAGGGTGCTCCTAAGGCTTAGGAAGAGCCACACTCAAGGGGCCAAAGAGCCGTATGTGGCTCATGAGCCGCAGTTTGCCGACCACGGTTCTAACATATCCTTAGCCTATTACATACAGTAGCTCAAAATATACCCAGTATTAATGAAAGGGCTTTATAGTAACTGTTAATAGTTGTCATGGTTGTATACATATATCTATTTTGATAGGATTTGGATTGTTTTTCTCAAACTAGTGTCCAAAGGGGACAGAAAATCTATTGTCCAAAATATTGCCAGCAATGGAAGAGAAATGACAAGTTCCCAGATACTGTTCCAATGTTCAATTCACAAAAAATACGTGGAGTTTGGATATCAATCTCTGACTCTCAGTCCAAATCTTCTAAATTCTTGTACACTGCCAGGAGAATACAAGAGAAACTAGCCACTATTGTTAGGTAAACTTTCAACACAGTAGCTCGAAATAGCTCCTTAAATGCTGCCAAGGCCGGCCACATGGAGTCCCAACCACTTTCTCTTCCTCAGAAGCTATGCTGCCACAGCTGCTGCTCATGGCTTTGCCAGTGTCTACTCAAGGGAACAGTTCAAATAGTGGCATGTCTTAGGTCCAGGTGGGATGGAGATGGTCTTTAAAAACCCTGTGTCCTTCAGAGCATACCATTTATTTGCTGGCAGTTATGCCTAACAGTGCATGTGGCAAAAAAGAAAACACAGCATAATTTTGTAGGCACAGAAATTTCAGTTCAGAGCCCACAATCCAAATGAACACGAACAAATCAAATAAACCACTTGAGCATTAAAACCCCTCTTTTCTAAAATGGGAGCAATTATATAACCCACAAGTGTAAAGAAATAAAGTGCGAAAGAATGTTCTAAGCAGTTGAAAAATTATATATATTACTAATGACCATAGCACTTCCCTTATCTATATATTCAAAAATTTGATGTGAAATCCTCCTCCCTTTTGCTGCACATACACAAACACATCTTCAAAATCCTCAAATCTTTTTAATACTCAAAGTCAGTGAAATATCCCCAAATCATAACAATATAATCTACAAACACTGACTTATCTTTTGATAAATGCTATTATGTACCTTGTGCATTCTAATTTCTATTTGTATAAAAATACAAAATACTGATGCTCCTTGACATATGGTGGGCTTATGTCCCAATAAGTGACCCAATAAACATCATAAGTTGGAAATATAAGTCGAAATATTTAAGTTGAAAATGCATTTAAACACCTAACCTAGCCCACCTTAACTGTGCTCAGAACACTTACATTAGCCTACATCTGGACAAAAATCATCTAACACAAAGCCTATTTTATAATAAAGTGTTGAATATCGCATTTATCTGATGGGCTACAGTATCTGGAAAATGCTGGCAGCACAGTACACTGTAGAGTACCAGCTGTTCACCCTCGCCACCGCGTGGCTGGCTGAGCTCACTGACACTGTTCAGCATCACTAGCCTGGGAAGAGAACAAAATTAAAAGTTTGAAATGTGGTTGCTACTGAATGCATATCGCTTTCCTCCCATCACAAAGTCAAAAAATCTTATGTCAGACCATCATAAGTCAGGGTCCTTTTGTATAAGAAAAAAGCTTAAAAAAAATCCTCCACTATCCTGAGATACACACTGTTACTCAATTTGTTCATGCTTGAATATACTTGTATAAATAACACACACTAGATAATACTGCTTTCAAACCCCCTTTCCCGACTTACTATTTGATAGACATCCATTTATTATTAAGTATATTTCTATACCTTGACTGCATAAAATTGTATTCTATACACATATTAAAGTTTTAGTAGATATTTAGATTGCTCTTATTTTTCATAAGTGCAAACAATGTTGTGATGAATATTTGGTAGCTAACAATTTATATTTCTGTGTAAAATAGGATAAATGTTTGGAAATGGAGTTGCCGATCTGAAGGACGTGGATAGACTAATTTTTCTCACGTTGTCACTAATACCTTGTTATGCAACAGCATTGCTCTACAGACTGAAATTTTAAAGCCTCTGATTTAGGGCATCCTAATAAAATATCAATTGATTTTAGCTAAATATATAATAAAATACAAATTAGTTCATGCTCTCACTGTGCCCTATTCTGCTTCTTCCAGTGGGGATAAATCAAATGACATAACTTCTGGAACCACCTCAGTTTCTTGGAAGCACCAAATCCATAGCACCCATTACGTGAATGATGTACAAACAGAATACAAAGCCCCTCTAGATAAAATAGAGGAATGGCCACTGCCCTAGAATTCCCCTAACCGTGAGTCAAGACACCCTTTCTTTCCTAGCTTTCCTTTTAATGAAATAAACTCCCTTATCTTTTAAGCTTTGCTTCCTAAACTGATCAACCCAACATGTTCCCTGGAGGAAGGCTGAAATAATAAATGAAACAGTAGGACATGAAAGGAAATAATCACTTCCATTAAAACTTTCACACTGAATTCCAATGACTTCTTCAAAATATTTAGGATTCCTTGTTTATTATATTTATGTTTAAAATCTTTGGGAGCTTTGGGTCACTCTTTATTCTTTCCCACTAATGCCCTCCACCACTCCCCACTCCATACCCCACCTCAGGGAAGTGAGTTTTGCCACAAATATTTGAGCACCTATTATGCCCTGGGACTTTTCTAAGCACTTTAAATAAACCAATGGACAAAATAAATGTCCCTGTCCTCGTAGAGTTTACATTTTAGCTGGCAGAAACAAGCAATAAACAATAAGCATAATATATGCTCAAATTTTATAATCTATGATGAGGTGATAGATGTTACAAAAGGAAGTAGATGAGGATAAAGGGTGAGAGCAGCACCTAGGAGCAAGGGGCAGGATGCAATGCTAGATGTAGTCAGCATGGAGGCTGCCTGGAGAAGTTAGCATCAGAGCAAAGACCAGGAGGCAAAATTGATCTCTATGACTTAATAATCTTTCGGGACCCATTTCCCTTCTTTCTGTAGCCCATTCTTCATCTTTTTCCCTTATCAGAGGAAAAGCTAATTGGAGATATTATAATAAACAGTTTAGGGAGACTTGATTGAATACATTAAACTGAACAGAATTTACAGTGCAAACGGAGTAATAAACAAAAGAATTCCAGGCCACATGGTCATTGAAGACAAACTCTCACTTGGGGAAAAATGGCAAATAATTGCATTCTATACATTTGTAGCTACAATAACTGTTTAAAAACTGAGAATTTATAAATGAAAATTTTTCCAAGTAGCAATTCATTTCCTAGTTACTTTTAGAGA